CCCCCTGGGGAGGCCGGCCCCCCCAGCCCTGGGCCTGCCACTGCCCAGACCCTGCCCCGCTTCTGGCCTCCTTCCCAGCCAGGGTCAGTGCTGTACTTTGTGACCAGGAGGAGAGAGAAAAGCCAGCCTCGCCTGGGGGCAGGGCAGGGCTCCCATGGGACCCCGGAGCACCCTCTGAGTCCTGCATCTGGGAGCTGGGCAGACCCAGCCCAAAGGCCGGAGACCCAAGGACCAAATGACGCTGTCCCTCCTGGCTAGGACGTGGGCAGGGGGTGCACAAATAAGAGCTCACCAGTCACTAGGCCCAGCCCCAGGGCCCAGAATGCCACACCCGAGCCCACAGAGTCTGGGTTCGAGGCGTAAGGCGGTGGCAGCGACAGGGCAAGATTTCACAGCCTCTACCAGAAAAGTCTCAGCCCAGAACCTTCCACCCTCCGTCCAGCATAAGGACAGACCCCTGAGCCAGGGTGTGGGGTCAGTGGCAGTGAGAGAGGACGGAGGGAGCTGCAGCAGGGAATTCAGGGACCCCCGTGTCAAAGGAGCTGGCTCACAGCATCTCCCTCACTGGAGAGCCTCCAGACAGATTCCCCTCCCCCTCTCCTGCCTCCACTTCCCCACCTGGATAGCGGGGACAGAGGGTTTCTCCCACTTTTGAGGCTCAGCGTGCAGGCCCGGGGGTCTCAGGAACATCATGGGCCAGGCAGAGGCCTCGACACCCATCTCCCCTCCAGAGATTCCCCAGCCCAGTCCTCCGGTCACGAACCTTCCCCCGTGCAACCCACATGCCAGCTCTGTGGTAAAGTGGGGTTGTCCAGGGAGGGGACAGATACATCCATCCTGGACACCATGCTAGCCTGGAAGAGAGCTGACAGGTAACAGAGAAGGAGGACAGAGCCAGGTAGGGGGCCAGGGTCTCACCAGGGGAAGAAAGAGTGGTACGTGCATGCACACACATACATGCACGCATACACACACACACATGTATGCACAAACACATATGCACAGAACAGAGGAAGGACCTGATTCTGCTTAAGGCAGGTGGGGAGGGGCGGGGCTTGGAGAGGCGGCTTTGGAGGCACAGCATAGGTGCACCCACAAGGGACCGTGGGCATGGTCAGGGCTGCACTCAGGAAGCTCTCCCAGGACAGTGGGGGCTGCAGAGGCCAGGAAGGAGACCGGGCAAAGGCAGGTGAGGAATGCAACCCACCACCTTTGACAAAGAGGGGAAGGAGAGGGACACATCTGAGGCTCTGCTACAGGAGGCAGGATGACACCTTCCTGCCCACAGTCCAGGGCAGACTCTGCCCTCCAGAAGCTCCCAGGCTGACACCCAAACAAGAGAGGGACACACAGGCCACCAGTGGAGCTTAGGGCCCCAAACCAGCAGAGGAGGTGGAAACGGGACCCCAAATGGAGGCTCAGAGGCGCAGGCTGTGGCTGTCACCCACCCGCTGCCACCACCTCTCCCTAAGGGTTTCCTTGCTCCTGCTCCCTGGAGCCGCCAGAGGATCCTGCCAGGCAGTCACGTCACATGCGTGCTCTGCTCAAAGCCTTCTGGTGATCTCATCACACTCAGGGGACACTCAGAGGCTCACAGTGCCTTGCCCAGGCCCCCCTGAAACCCTCAAAGCAGGGAGCACTCCCAGCCTGGGCCACACTCCCTGTACTCCCCACCTACCTCACTCTGCAGGAAGGCCTGGATCACCTGGGCACCCCAGGGAATTAATACTTCCCCCACCCACCACCCCTCATCAGCAGCCTCCCCCAGTCTCCTGCAAAGTGACCCTTTGGGCAGGGGGGCAAGAAGGGTGGAGAGGCAGCAGCATGACCCCTGGGGGCGAGGGGGAGGGGAGAGGGCACCTGGAAGCAGCTGACAGCCCTGGGCTCCGCACAGCCACTGTGTGACTCTGGCAAGGTCACCTCTGAGCCCCCACTGCCTGTTCTGTAAAGCGAGGTGCCCACCACCTCTCTCCCAGCAGGGCCACCTGGAGGATCAGAGGCGACGTCCAAAAAGAGCAGCACAGTCAGCACGTGGCAAGAACATGGCGACATCAAGTGTCCTAATCCAAGCGGGAAGGACTTAAGCTGTGAATCTGCCTCAGTTTCCCCATCTGCAGGACAGCGATCATCATTTCTGTCCCACCAATTTCCAAGGTTGGCCTTAAGGATAATGGGAGTCCCTGTGAAGCACACGGGCGTACACTCACCATGTGTCGGCGAACGGGGAGACAAGGGACACGTGCACACCGCCACACCCACCAACCGCAGTCAGCGGAGCAAAGCCACTTCTAACCAGAACCCTCTGAGAACCAGGAAGGAAATGGCAGGAATGTGTGGCGGTCACCAGCTCAAGCAGGGCACCTGCAAGTGACCATCCCTAGCCGAGGCACCACGACTCTCTCCAATGACTTCAGTTCGAGGGCCAGGGCCTGCTCTGGAGCAGGGAGAGGGCGAGAGCCAGAGACAAGGATGGCATCACGGCAAGAGGAGCCCCTGTCCCTTCACGGGACAGCAAGATGAGAAGAAAGAAAAATAACTCTCTGATGTTCTGCTCCAGAAACAGGACGTTTCAGGCACATTTTTTGGTAGGGGTTGCTTTGGGTTTTTTTGAGCTGGAGTCTCACTCTTGTTGCCCAGGCTGGAGTGAATGCCACGGCCACCGCAGCCTCGACCTGCTGGGCTCCGGCGATCCTTCCGCCTCAGCCTTCCAAGTAGCTGGAACTACAGGCGCGTGCTATCATGCCCGGCTAATTTTTGATTTATTGTTATCTGGTTATCAGAAAGTCTGGTCTTGGAGATAAGTATGAAGTCCTGTTAGAGATGAGGTCTCGCCAAGTTGCCCAGGCGGGTCTCGAACCCGCGGGCTCAGGCAATTCACTCACCTTGGCCTCCCAAAGCGCGGGATTACAGGCTGAGCCACCAAGCCCGGCCTCTTGGGGTTTTTTTGTTTGTTTTGTTTTGTTTTTTTAAGCAAGAAAGAGAGAGACAGGGTCTCACTCTGTTGCCCAGGCAAGAAGTGCAAGTGGTACAATCAGAGCTCACAGCTGCCTTGACCTCCTCCAGAGCTCAAGTGACCCTCCTTCTTTGGCCTCCTGAATAGCTAGGACTACAGATACATGCCATCACACCCAGCTAATTTTTTTTTAAGTAGAGACAAGGTCTTGCTATGTTGCCCAGGCTGGTCTGGAACTCCCAGGCCTCCCAATGTGCTGGGACTACAGGTGCACACCACTGCACCCAGCCACATGGACAAATCTTAGAAAGGCATCTGCACACAGTGCTTCCCACTAGAAGCTGGTTTTGGTGGTTTTTGCGCAAACTCAGCTCTCAGAAACCCTCAAACTCCAAGGCCCAGGGAGCCGAGTCCCCCTCTGCCGCCGGGTGGACACATCCACAACCCCACTCGCCCCCGCTGCTGCCTCACCTCTTTCTTCTTCCGCTTCCCTTTGGACTTGTTTTCCTTGAACTTCTTGGATTTCTTCTTCTTGGGGAGGCTCATGGGCTCCACAGGGAAAAAGTCATCGAAGACTTCAAGACCTCCATCTTCTTCTTCTGGAAGAATCAGAAGGAGGCGGGGTTACTCCTGCACTGCCCACATGCAGAGCCCGGAGCCAGAGCTGGGGAAGCCAGTGTCTCCGGCTCCACCATCACCCAACCGTGCCAGGTCCCAGCCACCCTGCTCTCCTCCTCAGACCCAGAGAGGTGGAAAACACAGAACAGGAATCCCCGCTCCAGGGCATGCCACCTCACCCTCTGGGCCTTTCCTTTCCTCCTCTATGAAATGGTACAGTAACCACCTCGGACAGTGCTCAGAAAACTGAACGTGGGTGAGCAAAACCCTGAGTAGCCCTGTTGATGCCTCACCCTGGAATCACAGGGCCATCTCCATCTGGCTCCAGGGATGGCTGGGGGCCCTGGAGCAAGGCGGCAGACCTCAGCAACACCCATCTCTGCCCTCTAAGGATCACGGAATGGCCAGAAGGCGGCTTGTGAATGCAGGATGGTGGGGATGCTTGGGTCCTATCACCCGAGGACCCCAGGGATTTGTAGGACAGGCCCAACAAGGAGGATACCAAGATGTCCCAAAGGTTTGACATTAATGGGAAATGAAGACCGTGTTGCATCTCCTCGCTGATCCCACACCTGTGCACACACAGGAACACACAGGTGTGCACACGAAGGCACACACAGGCACGCACGCACAGGCGCTTACATAGGCACACACGCACACAGAGGTGTACACAGGCACACACAGGCATGCACACACAGGTACACACAGGTAGCCACAGACAGGTGCACACATAGGTACACAAAGCTGCACACACAGATGCACACAGGCACATATGGTTGCACACACAGAGGTACACACAGGCACACAAACACAGGTGCACACATAGGTACACACAGTTGCACATAGGCACGCACACAGGTACACACAAGTGCATGTAGGCACATACAGTGCACCCAGGTGCACACTCATGATAGGAGCCAAGCACATTCTAACTGGGCACCAGAAACAGGTGACATTCCAGAGAGATGCTGGTCTCGATTCCTGTCCCCTCACTCCAAGCAAGATCTGAAAGGCCGAGAGGGCAGGGTGGCTCGGCAGGCGGGGTGGCTCTGAAGAAGAGCTGGCTGTGAATTACAGGACCTTCTTGTCCACCGCCAACCTGGAGGAGGGGCTCCCACGTGCTCTGGGGACCATGACGTGAACCCCCTGCTGTGGAACAGTGGCCTGGGGTCTGACTCCCACCTGGGAAATAAAGGGTGAGAGAGGATAGCCAAGCCCCGATGTGGGCCAAGGAGGTGGGGGGGGTCCTCCTGGGGGCGCAGCAGCAAGAAACGAACCACCCAGAGTAGAGATACCCCCACCCTCAGGGGCAAAGGAGGCTTTCAGAAGGAAGACCCTCCAGGAGTTCACTAAAGAAGCCCAGAGGGCCGGGCTCAGTGGCTCAACCTGTAATCCTGTGCCTTTGGGAGGCTGAGGTGAATGGATTGCCTGAGCCCGCGGGTTCGAGACCCACCTAGGTAGCGAGACCTCATCTCTACAATAAATCAAAAAATCAGCCGGGTATGGTAGCGCATGCCTGTAATTCCAGCTACTTGGAAGGCTGAGGTGGGAGGATCGCCAGAGCCCAGTGGTCGAGGCTGTGGTGGCCGGGAGCGGCCACCGCACTCCAGTCTGGGTGACAGAGTGAGATCCCAACACACACACAAAGAAGCCCAGAGGGCCAACCCTCCACGCCAGCCCGTGGCCCAAGCATCCCCCACCAGCCTATCCTCCCCCGCAGCCCCCACCGTCCCATGTCTCCCCTGGGGAAGGCGAGAGGGCAAAGAGAAGAATGAGGGGAACCCGCTCCTGCCTGGGCTGGATGGGGAAACACAGCAGCGGGTGTCATTCAGGCCTGAGCACAGCCTCGAGTGGGACCCTTGGTGACCTAGGAGGGCGTGCGGTCCTGGGCTGCCCAGGAGACCTTCACCCAGGAAAGGGGCAGAGTGTACCCCGAGGAATCTATCAAGAGACATAGAGCCTCTTCTCCCAAGACTTTGACCATGACCATCGCAGGCCTCTTGGCATCGCCCAGTGCAGCCTGAACACTCAGACACGCCCACCACATGCAGACACACAGACACACGTGTGTGTCAGGACCTGCCCAACGCCCACCTTCCACCCTCCACACAGGTCCACCACCCGGCCCAGGGCCCCTGCCCCTACCAAGTCCTAAGGGGATGAGGCAGCAGCTCCTACCCGGGGTTTCCCGGCTCCCACTGCCCACATGGTGGGTGCAGCTTCAGCCCACCCTCCCCACTCCTAGAGGGCGCTGGTGGCTCTGAGGTTGGGCAGAAGCCCCTCCCACCCCTGCCTCTCACAGGGTCAGGCCACATGTGTCCACACTGATGGCCAGTCCCCATCCTCCACCGGGGAAGAGGGGGCCACACAGCTGTCTGGCGTCTTTCTGCACCAAGGATTCCTCCTGGGTGGTCGGGTATCTGTGGCTGCCCCACCCTGCCCAATACAGCCCCAAGGAGTCCCTGGGGGCAGGGGGCAGGACATGCCCAAGTCCCAGCTCCCTCCCCATCCTGAGGGTCTGGGGACCCCCAGGGACAGCCAGGCAAACGCAGCGCTAGAGAGAGGCAGGCTTCAGGCGGGACTGGACGCTGTCACAGCAAGGGTGGCCTGAGCACGGTCAGAGGCCGGCTGTCCCAGGGGCACCAGCCTGGTGTGTCTGGACCAGCAGAGAGGGGCATAGAACCACGTGGCCTCGGCAGAGCTATGGCACATGGGGGAGCAGGCAGCGAGGGCCGCCCCAGGTGGGCTTTTATGGGCCGGGATCAGCACAGCCAGCCCAAGGGCAGGAGCTGCTCTGGTTGACCCCATCCCGCCCCTGGGAGCCCTGATGTGGGAAGACCAGGTTTCAGTTTCGAACCAAATGAAAAAGCACACGGACCCCTGAGTCATCCTGGAGCGGAGAGCCTGGAGGCTGCAGCAGGGCTGGCAGGGAGGCGGGCCAGGGCGGCCAATGGGACAAGGGTTCACAGAAGCCCACTCCCCGCCACCCCACCTCCACCTCCCCTGGCGCCACGAGAGACCGCCTGGGCAGAGCCACCCCCACACCCTGACGGTGCCCAACACCGCTTATGTAACGGGCTCTGGCTGATGCAATCTCGGGGGTGCCTCTGCCTCTCGCTTCCTGCCTCCTCCCCGCTGTCCCCTCTGAGCAGAGTGGTCCCAGACTCGGGAAGGCCAGTCCAGCACACGGTCGCTGATGACTGACTGACCAGCACACAGACAAGGGGAGGTACAAGTGGCTGCAGGTTCTGGAAGGAAGCCAGGATCTCCCGTGGGTGGGGAGGAGGACAAGAGGGACCCCTGCTCTGGCCCTAACCCACACTCAGAATGAGCCTGTGTGGACCCTCTGCCCATGGACAGACCCCCTCCATTTCCAGAAGACGTCACAGCCCAGGGCCAGCTGCCTGGGGAAGCCCTCCTCCTGGAAGTTTCTGGGACTGGTGCACAGGATGGACACCAAGCCCTGCCCACCTCCATCGCTGATGGGCCCTTCCTCTCCCCAAATGGCTTCCGGTGGGTGGCCCTGAGGACACCCCAGGCCTGACCCTCTGTAACACTGGCCCTTCACCCCACACAGCCAAGCCTCAGCCCCCTCCTCCTACTCAGCCGCTCTCCCTCTTCTGCAGCAGGCGTTCTAAACCAGCAACGCAACCCACCATCAGCCTCTCCAAGCCCCCAGCCCTATGCCCCATACTCCCAAAGGCCCCAACTCCCTGCAGCCAGAACAGAGCAGAGGCTCCGAGGTTCCAAGTCTCAAGGCAGCAGCCAGTGGTAATGTGGGATTCACCTGCCCTGGGGCGAGGGCTCTGGAAAGGAGTGGCCTTGCTTCAGAGCTCCCTGTCCTGCCAGCTCCTGGCCCCCTGGGGCCATCCCACTGTCCCCTGGCTCACCTGGCAGTGCCCTCCTGCACCAGCCCTGCCCCTCCAGGGCCTGAGGCTCTGCGGATCCAAGCCCGGCTATAATTAGGACCCATTAGCCTTTTTATCTCCCACTCCTGAGCTGCCCGGTCAGGACAGGCCTGGGGAGGAGGTCAGGTAGGACGGGAGTCTGGCCACAGCTGAGACAGGCACCTTCTGCGGCATCTCCCGAGCTCACCCAGCCCCTGGTCAGCTTCCTGCACATGCTCTGGCTCAGCCCTGTGGGACCTCCCGGCTGGCCGAGGCTAAGCCATTGCAGACTGCAGCCCGGGCAGCAGGTGGGCCCTTCTCAAGGCCCCGCATTATAATGGTAGGAGAAGCAGTACCCACATTCCACTCGCCAGGTCATGCCAGGCTCGAAGCACATAGCATTGATGCATTTGTATTAGTTCATCTCCCCCATGCAGAATCCCTGGAAAATGGGTACCATTTTTTTTTTCATTTTTAAGATAAATTTAATGCATACTTAATTCAACAAAAATGTGGGGTAAATGAGCAAAACTTGAAAGAGAACAACACTGCAAATGTGACCAATGCCTACATTCTGCAGTGTTTTCTTCCAGGTGTTCTTGGACATTAAGTTTTGTTTTCTATCTTTAATTTTATTTTAAAGATGTGGGGTATGCCGGGCTCGGTGGCTCAGCCTGTAATCCCAACGCTTTGGGAGGCCGAGGTGAGTGGATTGCCTGAGCCCACGGGTTCGAAACCCGCCTGGGCAACTTGGCGAGACCTCATCTCTACAACAAAAAAAATAAAAAATAAAAAATTAGCTGGGCGTGATAGCGCACGCCTGTAGTTCCAGCTACTTGGAAGGTTGAGGCGAAAGGATCGCCGGAGCCCAGCAGGTCGAGGCTGCAGTGGCTGGGAGCGGCCACTGCACTCCAGTCTGGATGACAGAGTGACAATCCAACTCAAAAAATAAAAAAAATAAAGATGTGGGGTACAATTCAGGGTTAGGTATACAAATGTTCATTATGCAGGTACCCTCTCCTGGCAGTTTCCCTCAACTGCCAATCCCACCCACCCCCATTCTTTTTTTTGTTAAGAGAGATAGGGTCTCA